CACTCATCTCTTGCACACCGACAATGCCCACAAGAAGCCGCTGAAGGAGCGCGCCGAACTCGATAAACACTGACTATGTGGTGACCTTGACCTCAGGTGACCTTGACACGACCTTGACCCCAGGTGGCCTTGACCTCAGGTGACCTTGACCCCTGGTGACCTTGACTCCAGGTGACCTTGACCTCAGGTGACCTTGACCCCTGGTGACCTTGGGGTGACCTTGACCACTGGTGACCTTGTCACGTCACTTCCTGGTCCAGAACCGGCCTATTATATCTACTTATATTTTGCAGAAAAATTAATTACAAACATTTTTTCGTCTTCTATTTGCGCCTAAAATCAACTCTTGAAAAGATACATAATTAAATAGGAAGAAAAATATGACATTTTTCGAATTATTTAAACATATTGTGCCGCCACAAGTTAAGCCCACGTTTTTTTTATGCGCAGAGAAAAATTTTTATTTCTCATGAAAGCCAAAAAGCCAAAAATCTCCGTGGATTCACCCAAACCAAAACAGATACCGCCTAGTCTATAATAAATACCACTTTCCAAAACTGAATTTTGATTACACAAATATTGTACTAAATACTACTCGTGAACTTTTGTACTCGAGTAATATCAAGTCCTGCTCTCCACCGCGTTTTTGCTATTCTTTACGAAGTCAATCAATCCCCTAACAAACCATCTTTATTTTTCAGCGCACCCATCCCCTCTTTCCTTGGTGTTCGAGCTGCCAGTTCCATTCGCAACTCAGGTGGCCAAGTGTTCTCAGTTTTGACAGTGATAAGCCATCCTCAATATGATGGACAAACCCTCGACTTCGACATCGCACTCTTGTATCTATCGGCTTCTATATCCATCCCCAACAGTCGAACCATCGCACTGCCTTCTCCTAGTACTGGTCCTGTTGCGAATGAGACAGCAGTTATTACTGGTTGGGGAGCTACCGTTGAAAACGGAACTGCCGCTAATATTTTACAAGTAGTGAGCGTACCTATTATCAGTCAGGAGGAGTGCAGGGCAGCGTATCCGTCCGGTATTACCGACAGGATGTTTTGTGCTGGACTTTTGGGAGTTGGTGGCAGGGACTCTTGCCAAGGAGACTCTGGAGGACCGGTGGTGGTCAATGGGGTGCTCTATGGGCTTGTTTCATGGGGGTTTGGTTGCGCTCGACCTGAATCTCCTGGTGTATATACGAACGTACCTGTGCTTAGGGCATGGATAACAGTTAATAGTGGAGTATAATAACAATAATTACGTTTTTTATGTTAATAACACAGGCACGCAAAATAAAATTATCGTTTTTTCTTTTGATAAGTTTTTTTATTGCTGTTGTTTCGGAGTCGCTGAATACGAATCTGAAGTCAGCTTGGCGCTAACACCCACCATTTCCAAGAAAAATCCCGAAAAATCCTTAAAAAAATTTATTTATTTATTTGAAAAAATTATTCAAGATTGTATGTTCAAAAAATAAGACGAATATGTTTAAAAAATCTTTATGCTTCCAAATCAATCTCGTCGCCTTCAAAGTAATTCCCATCCGATACAATGCACTTATGCCAACGTTTTTTTCAACTCTCGAAACAGTCTGAAAAGTCTTCTTCCGATATGGCTTTCAATGCTTTCGTCGATTCGGCTTTTATTTCCTGGATCCAGTCGAAACGGTGTTCACGGAGTAGTATTTTAAGTTTAGGGAATAGCCAGAAGTCACTAAAGTGCTAAATCAGGCGACTATGATGGTTGCGGAACGATATAAGTAGAATTTTTGCCTAAATGGTCTCGAATTATTATCAATATACTATGTCAGCGGGTGCATTCTCATGATGCAAAAACCAAGAGCTGTCTGTCCGTAAATCCGGCCTTTTGTGGCGAATAGCATTACGCAAACAACGCACAGTGTGCTAAATCGATAAGTCGACAAACATTTTTGATAGGCATTAAATGAAGGCAAGAGTGATAGATCATTAGAAAGGTTGAGTAATTATCAATCAGGGAAAAATACAGGCGAAGTATAAAAATGAAGATATGACCTTGAATTTGAAGATCAAACTTACGATTTTTGGGGAAGAATTATATTTGCTGCTCGCATTCTTCTCTAGATTTTTCACATAAGCTAGCAAATGCATTTTGTAGATTTTTCAATAAAGAATCCAATTCTGTTCGTTCAAAATTCAATTTTTAGTTATTTTAATCTAATAAATGTGTGACTAAAGTTAGCTTCGTACTTTTTGCGAAATTTTTGAAAATATTCAAATTGCCATAAATGTTTTAAAAAATTGCCCTCAAGAACTGTAAACTTGTTGTAGAAGCAGCTGTCGTCATTTCGAACAGTTTTTATAAAAAGTTGCACTAAATTTAATAACATCAACTTTGTTACATTTATCTCCAGCATTTTTTATTGTATTTGATTGTTTTTACTAGTTGTCTCAATAAAATTAGATTGTAAATAATTCTAATTCGTAAGCATGTGTATCCATTGAAATTGCAGTCAACCTACAAAATCAATGCCAACTAGCACTTTGTTAAGTATTGTAATATGGGTAGCAAGATAATGTAGACATTTAAAAAATATTTTTTTATAGCTCATTTAATCAAAATTCTGCAAGAGTCCCAAAAACTTCCAAATGGTATCACCTGTCAGTTAAAAAATAGTTGTCTTTATTGCTCGAAAGAGAAAAAAGTTATGAACGAATGTTTTAAAAAACACTCTGTATAATACCAAAAATGTGTAGATCGAAAGCAAAAGTTCACGCCCCAAAAATAATCAAAACCGATTAATATGTATTCGAGTTATTTACAAAATTCAAAAAATGTTCACGAAGTTTGTGGATATCTAGTGGCCAAATTAAGCAATTTCGGATATAGGTGAATTAGCCTAAATCTGCCTATTTTGAGTCGACGAAAATGTGGTCTTCCATTGTACACGTTATTCTGGGACATTCTGTATATAAAACAAGAATCATAATATTTTATTCATCGTCATCGAGTGAGTTGCTGTCGTATACGATTGCTGAAGTAATTCTGCAAAACAATGTTGTTTTGATTTTTTATTATAATTTAAATTTTAGAGAGCATTTGTTTGCTTACTGAGCTTGAATGAATTGTTCTATATTAGACAAATTAGTGTCCTTTTCAATTCTTAATCGAGGATTTATGAGAATCAACAATATTTTCGGATCAGAAAAATACACTGCTCGATCGAATACATCTTTTATCCGATTTAATCTACTACTCTTCCGAGCATGATGGGTCATGTTTTGTCTAATATAAAACATGCCGGAATTCATTGGCTTCTTCTGCGTAGTAGGCGACTGGAAGAGGTAGTTGTCGACAAATATCACAGCTATACTTCAAAAGCTTATAGATGGTGGGACTCATTAATTTGACTCTGATTTAATTTCATTTTTTAAATTTTTTATTGATATTTTTTCGATTTTTCATGGTTACTTTATAAAATATAATATAGTTAATTATGTCACGAATATTATATACCAAAAAGACACGTTTTGTTTTCAAAAATTCACAAAAAGTACGAAGTTAACTTTTTTCACACATTTATCAAGCTAAAATAGCTTTTATTGAATCTTGTAAGTCAGAATCGGATTTCTTATCGAAAAATCTACAAAATGCATTTGCTAGTTTATGTGAAAAAATCTACAGAAGAGTACGAGCAGCAAACGTAAGTTTTTTCGAATTAATTCATTGTGGCGACGTATAACACTCAAATAATATTCCTTGTTAACAGTTTGGCCGGTTGGAAAAAATTCATAGTGCACTATGCCACGATAATCGAAGAAAACTGTCAACAGGACCTTGATTTTTGAGTGACTTTGGCGTAGTTTTTCGGTCTTGGTTCACCTTTTGTACAATATTTACTCGATTGCTCGGCTGTTTCCGGATCGCAAGCGTTGATCCAAGTCTCGTCTTCAGTAATGATGCGTTTCATGAAGTCTTGGTAGTCAGAAATCATTGTTTCACAGATATCAGCGCGACGCTGTTTTTCCAAAAAGTTGAGTGTTTTTGGAACCAAACGAGATTTGGCGCGTCTGAGGCACAACAAATCTTTTAAACTGGTATTTACCGAATCTTTTGAAATGCCAACAGTATCAACAGGGTCTTTTATTATTAATCGATGGTTTTCGAGTACAACATCTTTGATTTGATTAACGTGTCCTTCATCAGTTAACGTTGATGGTCGTCCGGGGGGCTGTTGGTCCTGAACGCTTTCTCTGCCTCCTTTAAAGTCTTTGTACCACTTGTACCTCATCACTGTAGGCCTTCTGTAACATCATTAACGTTTCAGTGGCACAATATTCATTCCGCAAACAAAATTTAATGCAAATTCTTTGCTCAACAAAATCAGACATAGTGAAAATCGATAAACTCACTTTCGTTTATTTACAAAAACACGAGTAGCTCTGCAACAATTGAATATATAGACTTGAAACTCTGCATAGATATCAAGAACAGTACCACCAATCTACAAAAAAATAATTCTATGCTTTCATTATACCTGTGAATTTTAAATAAGTAATTTACCTTATTTTTTGGACACGGCGGCGTTGGAGAATCTGGTTTAGTGGATTCCATAAGTGTTCTAATAGACCATCGGAAATTTTCAATAGGTACAGGTACAGTAAAAAAATGAGCCTCGACCTAATGCCGTACAAAAATAGCAATACCGGAAGCCAGGAAAATTTTTGACTTTCCGAAAACTTTGGCCCGGGTTTTGGTGATTTATTACAGTACGGCATTTATACTGCAAGTTTCGGATCGATACATAGATAAATTTTTAAGCGACGCCGCACGTATTTGCTGATACAGGGGTTGGGAATACAGGGTGTAACCCTCTATTTGTAAGTAGCGTATGGGGGGGTGATTTGAACCAACATCAAATTCACTAATTTTAATTCTATTTTATAAAATAATGACACTTTTGGCCATGCCGTACATTTTTCATTAAACATATCCTTACTATAGGAAAATTAATGTCCCTCTGAAAAGTAGGATTTCACGGTGAAATATTTTTGTACGGCATTAATATGCAGGGTGTCCCATAAGCACATGATCAAATAGGTACTGCGATATTCTTTGGCACAAAAGAAGACGATTTGACATAACTTCAGTTAAGAAAAAAATTCTAGCTCTTCTGCTATTGACTGTCAAAGTTCTTGAAAAAATATATGTTTTTTGTAATATCTAATGTTATGATGGATTTTAATGAAACTTGCTGTGGACTTGTTCCTAAGTAAGACTTATGTTTTGATGAAGCAACCGCGTCCATCTGCCTTGGGCTAGTGGTAAATTCTTGAGTGTCTTGGTACAAGAATTATCAGAACTTTTTATTTGGTAGCTGGAATCAATTCATTTTATTTTTATTGATGCATCAGTCCTTTTTCGAAATTTTCTTGTTCTTGGTGAAATCTTCATTCTCCAAGCATTCATAATTTTTACGCAATTTTTTTTTTCAATTTTTGACAATCATTATCGCTACTACTCAAGTAGAACAAATACTACAATCACTAGTATCGTAGTAAGTATATTGGAAAATTCTTGTAGCATTCATAGTTTTTACGCAAAAAAATGTTTTCTGTTCGTTTCGTTGCGACTTAACAATTTTAGATGTATCTCAGTAAATCTGCTCTTTTACAAGAAGCAGCTTTCTCTAACAATAATTGCCAATTCTTTTACCTAGGATATCAATATTGAAAGTAAAATGGTCACAATTTTTGTAGTACAGGAAAAACACACTTTTGCTGTAAAACTTTTTGCGGCTTCAATAATTTTTGTTAATATCAAAGTTTTGTAAATTTAGCATTATGAATGAGAAAGTATCCAGATTTCTATTCTGAATTCTACGACGTATACTTTTGTAAAACATGTATTACAGAAAAAGAATTAAAATATCAGTCAATACCGCATTATTAGCGCTCGGTCGCTTAATTGACAACAAACATATTTTGACTGGAAAACAAAAAATAATACAACAAAGCAAGTAAATGTCATTTTAGCGTTCGTGTCCCAGTTATTTACGCATTATACTCTTTCTGTGTCATTTAGGTAGGTATTTATTTATTGAAATAAGCTCGACAGGGCAAAATATGATTCAGGTACTTATACCGACTTTCGGTGTAACAAAAATCTACTATTTCCTCACAAAGAAGTTTCAGAACCACGTAGATTTGTAAGACTTGCAGAAAATTTGAGATTACATAAAAATGTTTATAAAAAATTAATTAATGGTAACTTGGAGTGGAAAACATATAAGCATACAGGATGTTAAAAAAAGAGTGTAAAATATTTCAGGAGGTAATAGTATGAACCAAAATAAGCAGAAAAGTCTTAATAAACATGGGTCCGCAAAGTAACGGTTGCGGAGATATGGAATGTTTTATGTTTTTTAGCCCCTTTTTTTATTTTGCAAAAACGTTGTGTATTTTCTTATAATAGTTGGTTGATGTTTAGTGAAATAAACAGTACGTATTTGACAGTTGTTCTCAGTGCACAAGTTTTCTTTCGCTATGGCTGGTTACTCTAACGCAGAATTAACAGACATGCATTTCATGTATGGTCG